CAAGGCAAATTAGTGGATACAAATATGCGATGTGAGCCAGTCGAAACCTCCCGTTACGTGTGCGCCACGCAAAGCCTATTGGCCGACACAATCAAATTTTCGAATACTGTAATGGACGTCGCCAATCATTTACAGAGCGAGTTATTTCATGAATAATAAAGCGGTTACATACTGTACCTAATACAATCATTACTTTTCTGCTACAAATTACAAATGAACAAATATAGCACCAAAAGCTAGCAAATCTGCCTTTAAATCCACTTAAATCTGTACTCCTGAAATAGTGACACCAGGACCCAAGTCTAACCAATGGCATGGTGGTTTTCCTCCTTCCAGCGGAAGTACCTGCTGATGGAGTACGAAGTTAAGAGTTAAGTGAATGATAGTACACATGTGTAGTGAGTGCTGCAACATTGCCTAACAACAAAAACTTACGCATGGCAACAGCTTAGAAGATCGGCTACCTACTTTGTAGTCGCGGTAGACTGCGACCTTATGCCGTTACAGAATCAGCCATGTATACAAAATACGAGAATAGGACAAAAAGGTCGCACTATGAGGAGCGCGCCGCACCACTTCAGAAAATAACATATCTGCACACAAGACAATTTAAATCGATCAAGACAACACGCACTCCATACTCACCTTTGCACTTAACCCTGTGCATAGAAGGGTAAGCACATCTTGGTGTTGGAGCATCATATTCATAATAACAGTACGAAAAGACATCGCTGAAAAGAGAAGAGAAGACACCAAAAAAAGAAGCAATAATATAGCCACCTACCGAAAAAGGAGAGTGATTGTGTCGTCGGTCACCGGCTGCTCGGTTCAAGACGACTAGGTGTCTCTAGTAGACGGTAACGCATGAATCGTAACTGCAACCAGTAGTCGAATGGCACAAAACAAGGGAATAGTAAGCAATCAATTTATGATACCAGCCCGAACACATAGCAAAACACCATGAACATAGTAGGGCGACATTCCATTAGTGAAAACAAGGAGGGATAGATCTGGAGAAAGGAGAAAGGGGCGAGAATAAACAAGTGTCTCAAGAATGAAGGAAAATAACAGGTGAAGAGAAGAACAGGCATAGAAGAAATGGTTGGAGAAGAAATGGTTGAGGGAGCATTCGAGAAGCTGTGGGGAGTTGACGTGGAGATTAGGAATGCGATGTGATTGGTGGAACATATTTGAATGCCCTCTCGATTGGTTAGAACTCAATGAGAGTTGGGTTTGATGTGAACAATTTGGCAGTTGGTGTTTGGCGACGCTATGCGAAGTATGCTAATTTTGTTTGCATGAAACACTGTCGCTTCTTCTTGATTGGTTGTTGAAGTTCTTGGTTTATGAAACTTCGTAAGGACTGGTAACATTTCGTGGTCTGTACAATCTGGTTGAGGCCCACAACCATCTTGAAACCGTACTGTACCGCTGTTTACCACTTGGATGACAAATTGGGTGCGAATGTACGAAGGCACCAAGGGGCGCAAGTGACATTGTCGTAGCTTTCCAGTTGCGGCATGGAAGTGACATTCTAGCAACATTGACTCTCAGCGCTTTTCCGCAGCTCCAAGTTGTTTTTCCGCAGCTTTTCCGCAAGAAAAGCTACCGTGCACACTTTTGTGTGCACAAACTTTTTCGCGATGGCCAACGGGTGTTTTGTTTGTACTAATATCGTCGATCCTCAACCCAACGGGTGTTTTGTTTTACCTCGGCGGGACACCCCATGCGGCCCGCCGAGCGAACTAGATATTCCCGAGATCACATGACTCGTTAGATCCCCTGGAGAAATCTCACCCGTCAGGTTACCGAGAGTCTCGGCGTCTTTTGGCTTGGGCAACGGGCATGGGCCAGCATCTGGGGGTCCACCCTTCCCGCCATTTTTGCCATTCTTGTGATTGACAGGGCGCGCCGTCGTGATCGCTGCGAATCAGACGGAAGAAATGACACACATGGAATTAAGCTTGTATCTGACGCGTGGAAAATGAAACATCTCGCTGAGATTGATTCACTGGATCCCATGGCTGATTTCACAGGTAGCAGAGGCGAATTTTCGAATAGGACTCACCGACGGATGCTGTGACAACTAGGAGAAAAATTGACAAGTCGAGGTACCGGTAACGGTGGAGCCCCATAGCGAGCGAATTCCCCTAGCTGCTGTATCTATTCCTAGAGATTGGAGAACAAGGAACCTGGCTGCGTGATCAGGAAGTGAATGGTGAAGATGCCAGTCTGGTTTTGCAGTAGTGGGTATTTATTATCTCCAATCAAAGCTGAGCTTAGTGGTGGTCACACAAGCCTGTCGGTACGGTCCAACATTAGAAACTACGGTATCAAACGATACACCTCGGTTTCTTGACATGTCCTCGTGGACTAGAGCTTTCAACATGCGCTGTGGGAAAATAGGAGAATGCGCTACGACATTCAGAAGGACGCATTTGGCGGGGTACCTGGCGGGAAAGGAGAGTACGGACAATCGTGCAATCATTGCCTAAAATTTTTCTGCAAACACCAGTGGTAGATGGTGACAAAGGTGGGTAGGATCCGAGTTCTCGCCCACCCCACTTCAGTATTTTACGTCTGACTTCTGAATCCTGGCAAAATAAATACACTTCTATTTTGGGGATTTCGAATCTTTCGGGCAACCTTGCCGAAACATCCTCTTCTTGCCCCACTCCCATCCTGAAGTGGCCCAGTGAGTTGGCTGTTGTCACTTCCGATGGGTGAGGTCCCGGGATCAATTCCCCCGTGCCGGCGTATTATGTCAGCCTCCCAGGAGGGGTTTCGCACGTGCTCACTCTGGGAGTGGATATACCTCAACCTCGTTGACCCAGCAAGTCTAAACAATTGGGGAGGCGGGTTACGACCGACAACCAGGTGTGGGTAACACCCAGAGGGGTTTCCCCCCCTCCTTTACCTTTACCTCTTGCCCCACTCCGAAGAGATGTGGATGTGAGTCGCCGTAGAGAACGGAAGCCAATCGCCGAACAGAAAATGTCAGGTGAAAGCTCGTGGCAGCTTTCCTCAGGCCTTTTGTGCTCTCCCCGCCACACGCGCAATTAGCACAGGTGGCGCAGCAAGATTTTCCATGAAAGGGAGTGCGCTTACAGTCTCACCACAAGAACACAACACTACATTAGCAACAACACCACATTTGAACCTTATGTTGACGATTTATGTGCTCTTGAGAGTGATGAAACTTGCTTACCATCCTTGCTGTCATCTAGCTTACAACCAAGGTGTTCATAGTTGGCTGACATATTCAGGGGTACAACCAATTATCATCCCCCATGTGCAGCTAAGAGACAGCTTCAAGCTCTCATCACACCGCTCTGTAAATGCGGTGCGCCGAGCCGAAAGACCTCCTACCTGTCAGAGTGGGTGGGGTTGTTTTCAGGGCTTGTGCTGAAATCAAGGCGCCTTTGGCCAATGTCAATGCGTGCCCCGCTATAACTGTGAGTGGGCACGTACATGTGGGGAGGGGGGTTGCTGGGGCAGCTAGGGCACACAGAGGCAATACTAGGGCCATGTACGGGGATGGGAGAGGTAGTTTCCCCCCCATCCTCTCCGTTTTGTCGGTGGAAACACATGGGCGCGGGTGCACCGAACCATAGTATTGGACGTTTCATTACGGTAGGTTTCCTGTCTAGCGTGACCTGAGAGATACAATCGCACTCATTGGTGCACAGAAATGGCAATGTAGTAGTCATGTTTGGTGTGCTCAAAGCCGAGTCTAATGGCAATTGAGTACAGAAGTCTTGTATTAAGCGTTGGTGAGGCGTCAAGTGTTGGTGGGGCCCTAAGAGGTGCTTGCGGGAGGGCTTTGCAGGCTACATGTGAAGCCTGAGGAGGGGTTTTTAATGAGCAAATTCGTTGAAACAGAACTATACAAGGCAACAAGCCAACAAGCCAACAAGCCAACCCCATCTTCTACAGTATCAACCTAGCCCAATGGTCCCAATCCCAGCCCAATGGGCTCTCAGGCAAGTCCGTTTCTGACTTTGATGGCCAACTCACTGGGGTACAAGGACTCTTCTGCATCCAATAGGCTGGCTTTAATGGCCAATTTGCTAGACCCTTCACGACCACCCTTGGTGACTTTGAGGAAAGCCCCGTTCGCTGCACCGTTCTCGAAAGTCTTGGTGTAGATGAGAGCGGAGTAAGCATCAGGAGCAGCCAGAATGGCATCAACCAGCTCCTTATACGTCTGCCCGTTATCCGCCGTCAAAGTACTGGCGCTTAGCCAAGTACCGATCATTTCGTAGGCGTAGCCAAGGGGAAGTTGGGGCGGAGGGGGCGGCTGCTTGCCCTTCTTGCCCTTGGGCTTCGGTTTGCCGCCCAGCTTGGCGCGCTCGGCATCTGAGAGCGTGTTATTGAGCCATGTGGCGTCGCTGGTGTCCACGGTGAGTGCCACGTCAGCGCCTTTCTTGATGACGATGCTGGTGGGCTCTCCAGAGTCGGTTAGATTCACGCGCACGGAGTAAGTAATGTCGTAGTCGTTAGCGTCGCTCCTGGGGGGGTACGTGGTAAGCAGGGGTGAGCAGAGGTAAGCAGAGGTAAGCAGGGGCAAGCAGGGGTAAGCAGAGGTAAGCAGAGGTAAGCAGGGTTAAGCAGAGGTAAGCAGAGGTAAGCAGAGGTAAGCAGAGGTAAGCAGGGGTAAGCAGAGGTAAGCAGGGGTAAGCAGAGGTAAGCAGGGGTAAGCAGAGGTAAGCAGGGGTAAGCAGAGGTAAGCAGGAGCAAAGAGTGGTAAGCTGTGGCGTTCCCGGGGGAGGTGGCAAGGAGGGGCAGGGAGGTGGCAAGGAGGAGCAGGGAGGGGCAAGGGATCGGGTGCTTGGACATGGGACTGGGTACAGAATGAGAATTGAGTTGAACGAGGTTGGAGAGAAGGAAGGGAATGATGAGACAGTTTACAGAGTGAGGGGCGAAAAAGGAAAACGAGAAGTGATTCGTGAGAAGAGAGGAAAGTGAAGCTTACTGAAAGACGGCGAGGGAAATGCAGCCTGTGGCGTTGACGTCACCGCTGAGGTCAGCATCGGAGCCGTTGACTCGCGCTTCCAACACAGCTGCACGAAATCGCGTAATCACGGAAAGGAAAGAATGCTTGTGGAATGTGAAAGTGCTACAGAAAAGGGAATTGGAGCTGATTAGACGCGCCGCCACTGCACCTTGAGAACGGGAGGGGGCACGGTGGGTGGTTGATTGCCAAGCAAGAATATATGCAAGAGTGGGGGAGGCAAGAGAGCAGGAAAAGGTTAGGAGGGGAAAGACCTTCGGCTCCACTTCTTTTGCGCTTACCGATAGGAGCGCCGAACGAATCGCCTCCATTCTTGCCGCCTCCATTCTTCTCACCATCCTTCCCGCCCTTCTTCCCGCCGTCCTTCCCGCCCTTCTTCCCGCCATCCTTCCCGCCCTTCTTGCCCTTAGGCGGCGGCGGAAGCGGGTCCGACTGAAACTGCCCCCGCGCCGCACCCGACTCATAATCAGTGGTCGCGAATGTCGCGTAGTACCCGTCCGGCGTCGAGATTATGGAATCCACCAGCTCCTTCAGTATCTGCCCGCCGATCGTGGACAGCGTACTCGCTTTGAGCCACGTCCCGTTAGTGGCATAAGTGTACTTCGGAGGAGGTGGGGCGGGCGGAGTGCCCTTGTTCTTCTTGCCCTTGGGCGGGGGAGGCGGCGGACGAGTAAGATTTGCCCACGTGGCAGTTTCCCCTGCCGCGACAGTATTATGAACGGCGGTTCCTGCCTCTCCCGCCGCGCCTTGATAGATCGAAGCGGCGAACGGCTCGGCGTCGTCGGAGGTGGAGGTGACGACACTGTAGAAGACGTTGTAGTCGCCGTCTAGCCTGACGATTTCCGTCAGGTTCACACAAAGAGAGCAGACGGGAGGAATGGAATGCGCATTGCTCAAGCATGTGAAGGCATTTTCGAAAAGATGGTGTGGAGTAACGGAAAGCGACCGTTGAGTTTATTCAAGGGTTAGGTGGAAGGGAAAGAAGGACAGAGAGCCAGGTGGGCGCACAGAGCACGAGCAGAAAGCGACCGTTGTGCAGGTGGGTGGAAGGGGAAAGGCAGGTGGAAGGGGAAAGGCAAGTGGAAGCGAGTTCATTCAAGGGTTAGGTGGACGGGGAAAGGCAGCACAGAGGACCGAGTGGGCTCATAGAGCACGAGCGGCTGGGCTTACTCGAAGACGGCGAGGCACGACATGCAAGTGAGAGGTAAGTGATGAAACCTATGACTCAGATGGATGAAGCGGCTTACTCGAAGACGGCGAGGCAGACTCGCCCGGTGGCGTTGACGTCGCCCGTCGCCCCAACCACTTCGGATCCGTTCAGCCGCGCGGCGAGAATCGCTGCGCGGAGACGCGGAGAGGGGGTACGCCGAGAGGAGGGCACGCGGAGGGGAGGGGAGCGGGGGAGCGAAAGGGTGTAGGAGAAGGGCGGAGAGGACAGTGAGCGCGCGAAGGAAGAGGTGAGAGGAGAGGCGAGAAAAGGAGAGAGCTGGTGTTTTGTTTGTGAATCCTTTTGAATCTCGTCGATGCGTGTTTCAACTCAACGCGTGGATCCTCGAACGGACAGGCCACGCCGCCCGGCAGGCGTCTAGACGTTCCCGAGATTCTATCACCCGTCAGATTCCCTGGAGAAATCTCACCCGTCAGATTCCCGAGAGCCTCAGCGTCTTTCGGCTTGGGCAGCGGGCACGGGCCCGCGTCGGGGGGCCCCCCTTTCCCGCCCTTGTTCTTCCCGTCCTTCACAGGGCGTGCCGTCGTGATCGCTGCGCAGCAGATGGAAGAAAACGAGCACATGGAATGAATGAGAAACTAACAGCTGAATTGAACGCATGGGTCAGTGATAAATCCAGGGGATTCGACTGACATTTAATAAATATTAGTGATAATTAGTAGTACTAATGTCACTCACCGAAGGATGCTGTGACGACTAGGAGTAAAATCGACAAGCCGAAATAACGGTGGAGCCCCATCGTGGACCAAAATCCCCTAGCTGGCGAATCAATTTCTAGAGAATAGGGAAATGGATTGTTGGCTGGGTGATGAGAAAGCGAACGAAGAAAATACTTGATATCTAGATCACCAGCCGAGAGTTAATATATTGGGCAACAGAAAGCTGATCTAGTGGTGGCCGCACAAGAGGAGGCAAAGAACAAAACATTTCAGTACGGTGCTGAAGAAGCATCGGTGCACAGAGATACAACTCGATTCCATAAATTTTTTGGGGTATCTTGTGACACGAGAATGCGTGACGACATTACATGGACGCAATTGGCGGGTTACCTGGCGGGAAAGGTCACCACAATGCTTGTGAGATATTGAGGGTACGATAGTGGGCAACCTGCCTAAAATTCTTCTGCAAGCGGGAAATGTAACGAAGGTGGAGGGGGAGTGGAGGAGTGCGGGGGTTGAGTTTTAGACCACCTGAGTTTTGGTCCATGGAAAATACTACACTTGGTTGTGGATCTTTTCGAATCGCCCGGGCAGCCTAGTCGAAAAGTAAATGGCCGCGTTTTGCAACCTCACGCCGCGGATGAATCGCCGCAGGGCACGGAAACCAATCAAAAGCATAAAATCAGGTGAAACCTTGTGGCGCCTTTTCTCATGAGTCACGACGAACGATGCGTGTGCTCCGCCCCGCTGCAAGCGCAATAAACCTGGTCAAAGACTTTCTTGACTGTCGTTGTTGGCGCAGGTGGTGCAGCAGGAACAAGGCAGCGGAGGATGGCGAAATTTCCATACAGAGGATAAACCGATACGAAAACAACGGTAGATTAGAAAGAACCGATGTCTTAATTCCAGATAGAGCATCGTTAAATCAATTTTACGTTTCACATTCAGCTTATAGCGAAGGCTGACAGATTCAGAGAGCTCAACCAGTTGTCATCCTCCACGTGCTGCTGACAGCCAGATTCAAGCCCCCACACCCCTCTCAAAGCACCGCGCGCCGAGCCGAAGCCCTTGTCAATTTGGCCAAATTTCCTGTGCAATATCTAGGGAGTTACCGTTGAGGTTCGATCAGGCAGCCCTTCGTGCAATATGTAGGGTGACCGCTGAGGGCCAAATTTCTTACCGCTTTTCATGTAAAGCTCCCTCCCATACACTTCCTGCAAAAGGAGCGTGCCGTTGATAATTTCCCGCGTTTCTCGCGCCTCAGCTTCCGAACCGCCTCTCCGTTGGTTGCGCGCTGCGGTTCCGCCCAGCTCGCCACCTTGAGCTACAGGTTAGCTAGGCTCCATTCGAAGTACCAATGGACGGGCTTGTTCGCGACAACGCCAGCTTTACCGCTTCTCCAGCCGTACCTACCGCCGCACCTCTCGCCGCGATCGCCGGTCTCTCCCAGCCCGTGGAAAGCGCGCTCTACCTCTGGGGATACAATCTCCGCGGGCAGACCAGCCACCGCGCGGGGCTTCGCGGGGATCCGCGCACGTGGCGCTGCCAGCGCGCGCCGCTGCGGATCGCGCGGGAGAAGTTCCGCGCGCGGGACGGGCAGCCCGTAGCGCTTGTTAGCGTGGCGTGCGGATTGGAACATAGCGCGGCGGTGGGGATCGATGGGAGCCTGTTCACGTGGGGGTCGAACGAGTACGGGCAGCTGGGCGACGGCACAGAGCAGAGCAGCAGGTGCGTTGACTCCGTTGACTCCATTGACTTGACTTTCTCCCTGGGGATTGATGGGAGCCTGTCTACGTGTGGGTCGAATGAGTACGGGCAGCTGGGCGACGGAGCAGCTGCGTTGACTGCATTGACTCCGTTGACCTGTTTTACTACCTTAGTCAGCACAGAGCACTGAGATGCGACAGACTCGGATCCCCGTTTTCTCCGTTCCTACAGGTGAAGCGGTGACTGCTGTGGCTGGTAACGCGCAGTGCCCTGCTGGCATCAACCCCTCCTCTGTTTCCCTCGTTTTCACTCCTCTCCGTCCTCTTCTTTTCCCTCGTCCCACGATTTTCCTACAGGGAGCCAATAAGGTTAGCAACTTTGGGGGAGGCAGGGGAGGAGGTGACTGCTGTGGCGTGCGGCGCGCAGTGCACTGCAGCTATCACTCCCTTCCTCTGTGATCTTCCTCTGTCCCCATCTCCCTGCAGGGAGCCCATAAAGGTACCAGCGTTAGATGAGGCAGGGGAGGACGTGACTGCTGTGGCGTGTGGCGCGCAGTGCACTGCTGCCATCACCTCCTCTGTTTCCCTCTTTTTCACTCCCCTCCCTCCTCTTCTCTCCCCTTGACCTGTCATTTTCGTGCAGGGAGCCTATAAGAGTGGCAGCCTTAGAGGAGGCAGGGGAGGAGGTGACTGCTGTGGCGTGTGGCGCCCAGTGCACTGCAGCTATCACCAGGCGGAGAGCAGACGGGCGGGGGAGGGGGAAGAGGAGAGGGGGCAACGCGGAGCATGGGGGTAGCGGGGAAGAGGAGGGGCGCCTGTGGGTATGGGGCCAGAACCAGGTGGGTGCAAATCTGTGCTGGTAGGTAGAAACCTGTGTGGGCTGGTTTAGAGCGGTACTATCAGGTGGTAGCTGGTCGGCTTATCGCGACCAGCTTTTGTTCTTATCATCAGCAATCCCGTTATCAAAACCAATGCTTTGACTCACTTTGCATTTCCTCTCTCTTCGTGTCCTTTCTTTTCATTTCCTCTCTTTTTATTTCCCTCATGTCCTTTCTTTTCATTTCCTCTCTTTTCATTTCCCTCATGTCCTTTCTTTTCATTTCCTCTCTTTTCATTTCCCTCATGTCCTTTCTTTTCATTTCCTCTCTTTTCATTTCCCTCATGTCCTTTCTTTTCATTTCCTCTCTTTTCATTTCCCTCATGTCCTTTCTTTTCATTTCCTCTCTTTTCATTTCCCTCATGTCCTTTCTTTTCATTTCCTCACTATTTATTTCCTCACTATTTATTTCCTCACTATTTATTTCCTCACTATTTATTTCCTCACTATTTATTTCCTCACTATTTATTTCCTCGCTCGGCAGAATTCGAACCTCCCTCGTCTTATGCAAGGAGCCTTCCCCCCCAAAACTGTGAGCCCTGCCCTTCAATCTGGCTTTCATTATAGTCACCCACTGTGTCAACTGTCCATCTATTCGTTTGTATGCTTGTTCATTCATCTGCTCGTCCGTCAGTCTTCATGCTTAAACCCAAACAAGCCCCAGACGATTTGTTAGCATGCATCCCAGTGTGGTGGGTTGGGGTGGTTTGGGGTGGGTTTGGGTGGGTTGGTGTGCAGGTGGCAAGTCAAGTCTATCTATCGTTGTGTGTGTTCGGTCAATACTTGTGATATTTGTAATTTCCCCTTCCTCTCACACCCTTCCGGCCCCCTCACTGTCAACCCGCCCTGCCTCCTGATCAATTCCCAGGTGGTTGTTCAGGTGTCTTGTGGCGACTCACACGCTGCTGCTGTGTCCAACTCTGGCCTGCTGCAGACATGGGGTGCGTGGGAGAGGTATCTGACTCATTCCCAGGTGATTATTCAGGTGTGTCTCCTAGTGAATCACACGCTGCTGCTGTGTCCCACACCGGCCTGCTGCAGACGTGGGGTGAGGTAGTGCGACAGGTATAAACAGGGCATGGCCTGGGGTGAAAGGGAGAGGTGCCCGGCCCTCTTCCACGGACATGCCTCTTCCTCATCTCTTTCTCCCAGCAGTTGCTGCCGATTTGTTTTGAGAATTCTCGAAACGAACCTGATAATGAAAGGAGAGGTGTCTGGCGTTCTTCCAGGGACAGGGGGCTGCTGCAGCGCCCACTCCTCATCTCCTCCTTCCAGCGGTTGCTGCCTGGGCGATGTGCTGCCACCATGGCTGTCTCACACCCGTCTTCTGTGCTCCGCTCTCTCCACCTCACCGTCACGCCTCCCTCCTCCAGGCTACAACGAGCATGGGCAGCTGGGCATCGGCAGGGCGTGCGACGGGCTGCAGAAGCCCCACCTGGTGACCTCCTTTCAGCGCTTCCTAGACGACCCGCCTCTCACGTGCCCTCATGGCGTTCGCATCGTGGCGGTGGCGTGTGGGGGGTTCCACACCGCTGCTGTCGACGCCCGGGGCGAGATGTGAGTGCCAGTGTATGCATGCGTGCACTCAAGAACACTCACACGCACACACGCAGAAGCTGCACCTGGTGACCTCCTTCCAGCGCTTCTTAGGCGACCCGGCATTCGCATTGTGGCAGGTAGTGATGTCCTTTCAGCGCTTCCTAGAGATGGACGCAGGTAGTGATGTCCTTTCAGCGCTTCCTAGAGATGGACGCAGGTAGTGATGTCCTTTCAGCGCTTCCTAGAGATGGACGCAGGTAGTGATGTCCTTTCAGCGCTTCCTAGAGATGGACGCAGGTAGTGATGTCCTTTCAGCGCTTCCTAGAGATGGACGCAGGTAGTGATGTCCTTTCAGCGCTTCCTAGAGATGGACGCAGGTAGTGATGTCCTTTCAGCGCTTCCTAGAGATGGACGCAGGTAGTGATGTCCTTTCAGCGCTTCCTGGACGACCCTCCCCTCACGTGCCCTGATGGCATTCGCATTGTGGCGGTGGCGTGTGGGGGGTTTCACACTGCTGCTGTCGACGCCAGGGGCGAGATGTGAGTGCCAGTGTATGCATGCACACAAGAACACTCACCTGGTGACCTCCTTCAGCGCTTCCTGGATGACCCGCCTCTCACGTGCCCAGACAGTATTCGCATTGTGGCAGTGGTGTGTGGGGGGTTTCACACCGCTGCTGTCGACGCCCGCGGCGAGATGTGAGTAGACAGGCAGAGGCAGAGCAGAGACCTAAATATCAGAGGCAGAGGCAGAGCAGAGACCTAAATATCAGAGGCAGAGGCAGAGCTGAGACCTAAATATCAGAGGCAGAGGCAGAGGCAGAGATCTAAATATCAGAGCCAGAGGCAGAGGCAGAGGCAGACAGGGACGAACGCCTGACCTGCCCCAACGGCATTCATATCGTGGCCGTGGCATGGGCCAACAGAAGAGGGTGGGAAATGTGACCAACAGATAGCAACACTGCACGGGTGGGAGCACCTGGGGAGGGGGTTAGCGGGGAGGGGGTTACCGGGGCAAATGCGTCACACACTGGAAAGGCATGGGCCAACCCGATTCTGTATCCCCTTCTAACTATGCAAGGGCAGGTACACTTGGGGAGGGGGTTGACTGGGGCAGCTGGGTCGTCCGCAGGAAAGACATGGGACACTCTGATCCCTTATGGTGTTACTTTGGAGTATTTTCAAAAGATTTTTTTAGGCGCTTTTTAGAATTCTCAACAGTAATACCAACATGGGACACTCTGATCCGTTATGGCACGCCCACCATCATACCCCCATTTCCCATGTTTTCCATGCATGGGCAGGTACACGTGGGGACTTTTGAGTCGACTCAGAAGTCACCTTATGGCACGCCCACCATCATATCCCTATTTTCCATGTTTTCCATGCATGGGCAGGTATACGTGGGGAGGGGGGTTGATGGGCCAGCTGGGGCACCGAACGCTGCAGGCACGGGGTGGCACGTGCGAGGTGGTGCCGAGGCGGGTTGTGGCACTTGAAGGAGTTTCAGTAACGCAGGTGGCGTGTGGCCGCACCCACACATGCGCCCTCACCCACAGGTGGGTCTGCTGAGTGCGTATGCATGCACACACATGCGCAAACAGGCTCGGGGCGGCACGTTTGAGGTGGTGCCGAGGCGGGTGGTGGCCCTGGAAGGGGTTTCAGTGACGCAGGTGTCTTGTGGCCGCACCCACACATGCGCCCTCACCCACAGGTGCGTGTGTAACACATCTCAAAGCTCTTACTCAGTGCACCCCACTCCTCTGCAATTTTTGAGGCACCCCAAAGCTCCTCTGCTGCACCATCCTACCCCCGCTCCCACCCCCAACCCCCTTCCCCACTACAGGGGCGCTCTCTACATCTGGGGCGCTGGCAGGGACGGGCAGCTAGGCACAGGCCCCACTTCTGGTTACATGATACGAAATGCTTTTGGATTCCATCGAGTCTCCCTGCTCCCTTCCTTCTTTCCAATCTGCAATCCCACCCTCATCCGTCCTCCCAGGGGCGCTCTCTACATCTGGGGTGCTGGCAGGGACGGGCAGTTAGGCACAGGCCCCACCTCCGCCTCCTCCTGCTCTTCACTGGAACCCATTCCCACTGCTCCTTTGCCCTCCTCTCTGCGCCTTCCCACCCCTGCTCCCAACCCCCTTCCCCACTACAGGGGCGCTCTCTACATCTGGGGAGCTGGCAGGGACGGGCAGCTAGGCACAGGCCCCACCTCCGCCTCCTCTGCCCCCACCTCTTCCTCCTCCTCGCTGCCCTCGTCCTCCTCATCCTGCCCCTCCTTCCATCACCTACACACCGGCTTCACCAGCAATACCACAGCCAGCAGCAACAGCAGATTTGGAGGGCCGTTTGGAGGGGGGTTTGGAGCAGGGGCGAGTGGGGGAGGGTGCTCGTCTCTGGATTTTGTGAGAGGGCTGGTGCAGCGACAGCCGCTGCTGCTCATGCCCAAGGGCGTGCGGCTGGTGACGTGTGGGCAGGTGAGAGGGTGGGGCAGGACCGTTTGGGTGGGGATTTGGAGCCGGGGCGCTAGGGGGGGACGGGTGCTCATCTCTGGATTAAGTGAGAGGGTTGGTGCAGCGACAGCTGCTGCTGCTCATGTCCAAAGTGACTTTTGAGTCGACTCAAAAGACAGCTGCTGCTGCTCATGTCCAAAGTGACTTTTGAGTCGACTCAAAAGACAGCTGCTGCTGCTCATGTCCAAAGTGACTTTTGAGTCGACTCAAAAGACAGCTGCTGCTGCTCATGTCCAAAGTGACTTTTGAGTCGACTCAAAAGACAGCTGCTGCTGCTCATGTCCAAAGTGACTTTTGAGTCGACTCAAAAGACAGCTGCTGCTGCTCATGTCCAAAGTGACTTTTGAGTCGACTCAAAAGACAGCTGCTGCTGCTCATGTCCAAAGTGACTTTTGAGTCGACTCAAAAGACAGCTGCTGCTGCTCATGTCCAAAGTGACTTTTGAGTCGACTCAAAAGACAGCTGCTGCTGCTCATGTCCAAGTGGGTGCGACTTGTTACTTGTGGCAGGTGAGGGAATGTGATGGTTCTTCTGTCTTTACATCCCTCTCTCGCCTGTGCTGCTTCACTCCCTCCCTCTCCCCCGTGCGTGCTGTGACCCCAGGACCACACGCTAGTGGCGATGGCAGAAGATCAGATACTGGGGTGGGGCTGCACCAGCAGTGGGCAGGAATAGGCTTAGTGCCTTTGTGCTCCCCCATCCTCTCCCCCGTGCGTGCTGTGATCCCAGGACCACACGCTAGTTGCAATGGCAGAAGATCAGATACTGGGGTGGGGCTGCACCAGCAGTGGGCAGGAATAGGCTTAGTGCCTTTGTGCTCCCCCATCCTCTCCCCCGTGCGTGCTGTGATCCCAGGACCACACGCTAGTTGCAATGGCAGACGATCAGATACTAGGGTGGGGCTACAACAGCTGTGGACAAGCAGCAACTGGCAGAGAGTCCTATGCATGGCTGCCCATGCACGTGGACTGGTGTGTGGGTAAGGTGCAGGCATTGGCGGCAGGGGGAGGCCATTCCGCTGTGCTCACTGCCGCAGACTCTCTGAAGCTTCTCGCTGAGTTCCGATTGGCCCATTCCCTCGACTTCTCTCTTCGCCGCCCGGGGGGGTTGTCGGAGTGCGTGAAAAGTTTTGACGGGCTGCTCGAGGGCAGGGAGGGCAGTGGAGAGGAGGAGGATGGGGAGGTGATGCTGCGTCGCCAGCTGGCGCTGGCGGAACGAATCGTGGAGGAGTCGCATAGGCTCGGAGCTGACTCCCTCGTGCGCTACAGCCTGCAGTTCTGGTGGGTGGTGTTGTGCGCTACAGCCTGGTGGGCGTTTCAGCAGGTATTCGGAGGGGTAAAACAGCTTGCTGTTGGGTGAAATTGGGTTACAGCCCTGTGATTGTGGTGAGGGTGCGAACCTACGTGCATGTGCATGCATGCTTCAGTCGATGCTATGGGGATTTTGTATGCATCCATTTATGTGTGTTTTTTTGTTAATGTGGGTTTATTATTATTATTATTATTATTATATCCCTGGCAGGCTTAGAGTCACAAGTGACGCCGACCCAGATATGGATGAGAAGGAGCAACTTGCAGCAAGAGGACGTCGTCAACAATCCATTATGGTGTAATTATTGTGCATATGCATATAGTTCGTATATATCGTAGTATCACTAGGGTCAGACCTGCTTTTCAAAAACATTAATTAGAACTATAATCCTTGGCAAACTAGCTTCTGTACATTTTCATTCCTGGATAACCTTGGTTCATGAGGATTGTTTACGTCGAACACCTTTATCCGAGACAAGCTATGGGGTGTGCGTTCTGGCTTGGGTACAGCATCCCTCCAGCCTAGAGTTTACCATTTTTCAACCTCTCGAGATTCTCCTTACTTCGTTCCTACATACCAGCACTAGTTCTCACGAGCTGCGCGTCGCTGACTGGCTCAATTAGCAAAAATAACTTCGAGCGTTTGAATTGTACTCGTTTCATCGTCGTTCAGGTTCCTTGCTTTCAAGTTTTGTGTTTCCTCCTATCCTCGTCCTGAATCTCCTCTCTCGTTTCTTTTCTGTCTCCGCCTCCGGGCATGGCGAAAGATGAGGAGGAGAGGGAGGGAAGGACGGCACGCAGAAGCAAGAGTAGGAGTCGCAGCCGAAGCAGGGACCGAGACCGGGGTAGGGACGGTGACAAGGTGAAGGAAAAAGATCGAGGTCGGGATAAAAAGCGCGACCGCGACAGGGATAAGGCGAGCGACAAGGATAAGGCGAGCGACAAGGATAAGGCGAGCGATAAGGATAAGAAAGGCGACAAGGATAAAGCGGGCGACAAGGTTAAAACGGGCGACAAGGATAAGGCGGGCGACAAGGAACGACGGGATCGTCGCAGCAAGCGGAGTCGCAGTCGCTCTCCGGATCGCAAGCGTCGCAGCCGCAGTCGCTCGCCAGATCGCAAGCGTCGCAGCCGCAGTCGCTCGCCAGATCGCAAGCGTCGCAGCCGCAGTCGCGACCGGGAGAAGCGACGGAAGAGCAGCAGGAGCAGGAGCAGGAGCAGGAGTGGGGAGCGCGAAAAAGAGAAGAGCCGAGCTGACGAACGTGTTGCTGCCAGGGACGGTAAAGAGGAAGAAATATTAGAATCCAAAGAGTTGTTGAAGGATGTCAAGGAAGATTCGCGGCTGGATGTGAAAGGGAATGCAGCAGCGGAGGAGGGAAAGGTGGCTGGACAAGTTAACGGGGCGAAAGAAAGCGAGATACAGAACGGCGATGCTGTTGCTGCTGGTGCTTCTGCTCCGAAGAAGCAGGAGGTACGGGGTACAAGCGGAAATATAAAATCCTTTATTATGCGGGATTTCATTAAAAAGTAGCGTTTCTTCCTTTCAAACATATTTTGCCCGAGTTTTTTTCGTTCTGTTGAGCCTGTCCTTCCTCCCTAATCCGTGCTGCAATGCGCCTGTTGTGTTGTGCAGCCCTTGTCGTTGGAGGAGCTGCTGAAGAAACGGAAAGAGGACGCCTTGCAACAGGCGAAGGTATTTCTATGGTTGTAGTAAATGCATGTGTTGCTGCTGAACTATATCGTGGTTGCATCCAATGTCAGTCTGATGCATTTCAGTGCATTCAATGTCAGTCTGATTCATTTCAGTGCATTCAATGTCAGTCTGACGCGTTTCAGTGCATCCAATGTCACTCTGATGCATTTCATTGTGTCCCTCTCCTTCCTCACCCTCCACTTCCATCGGATCTCTGCTGTTCAAGCCTGCGTTTCTCTCCAAGGAGCAGCGGCAGGCTCTAGCGCTGCACTGGCGTCGTCAGTGTTCACGCTGCATGTCCATCCCCTTGTCTTCAACCCTTTCCTTCACCTCTTCCCTATACCCCTTCCGTCCCCCTATCTTCCTGCTCCCCTAGCCTGTGTTTCTCACAAAGGAGCAGCGGCAGGCTCTAGCTCTGCAGAGGCGCAAGGCAGAGGCGACGGCTCAGATGAGAAAGTATGCTGGGGAGAAAGATGGGGGGGGGAGGGGGGAAATCTTGATTCCAATTTCCAACATGCTTAAACCTGTCAGTTGCCTTGCTGGTTACCGTGGTTTCTTGGTCGCTGGTGTCATGGTCCCATTCCCCCTTCCCACTCACAGTTGCTTCTTCTTCATTGTCAGTTCCTGCCCGTTCTCTTGTCCTTTCCTCTCCTCTCCTCTCCTTTCTTCTGTCCGCTGCAGAATCGAGAACCAACGGCGGGCGCTCAGAGGACTCCCACCCCTGGCTGGTAGGCGATTTTCACTTTCTCTTGAACTGAGATTCTTTCTCCTCGCAACAGCTATCCTTTTTCTTGAACTAAAATACAGACTAGCCTCATTTTCTGCTTTGCATTTCCTTCCACATTCCTAAGCGCAGCCCTCTTGCCTCCTCTTACTACCTCTGGCGTGGTTGTTCTCGGTTGAGAATGCAGTTGTTGACTTCTGAGGCGCCTCAAGAGTTATCTCCTTCCGCCTCTGGCGCTGGCTCTGTGAGCTTGGCTGTGGTGTGGTAATCACAAGTTTCCTCGTTCCCCTTTTTGTCCCGCTGGCATTCCGGCAGATGAGAATGCAGAGGACGGTGCTGCAGAGGGCAAGGAAGGGGGAAAGGTCTGTGGATGCGACTTTGAGTCGACTCTTAAGTTTTCTCGTTCTCCCTTTTTCCTCTTTTGATATTCTGGCAGATGAGAATGCAGAGGACGGTGCTGCAGAGGGCAAGGATGGGGGCAAGGCTGTGGATGCGACTTTGAGTCAACTCTTAAGTTTTCTCGTTCTCCCTTTCTCCTCTTTTGGTATTCCGGCAGATGAGAATGCAGAGGACGGTGCTGCAGAGGGCAAGGATGGGGGCAAGGCTGTGGATGCGACTTTGAGTCAACTCTTAAGTTTTCTCGTTCTCCCTTTTTCCTCTTCTGATATTCCGGCAGATGAGAATGCAGAGGACGGTGCTACAGAGGGCAAGGATGGGGGCAAGGCTATGGATGCGACTTTGAGTCGACTCTTAAGTTTTCTCTTCTCCCTTTTTCCTCTTTTGATATTCCGGCAGATGAGAATGCAGAAGACGGTGCTGCAGAGGTCAAGGAAGGGGGAAAGGTCTGTGGATGCGACTTTGAGTCGACTCTTAAGTTTTCTCGTTCTCCCTTTCTCCTCTTTTGATATTTCGGCAGATGAGAATGCAGAGGACGGCGCTGCAGAGGGCAAGGAAGGGGAAAAAGCTGTGGATGCGGATGGGGAGGAGGGGAAGAGAGATGGGGGACGAGGCAGGGAGAGTGACCGCGAGAGGGAGGAGGAGAGGGATGGAGACAGGGAGAGGGAGAGGGGCAGGGACAGGGATAGGGATAGAGATAGGGAGAGGGAGAGGGATCGGGATAGGGATAGAGATAGGGATAGGGATCGGGATCGGGATAGGGACAGGGATTGGGATAGGGATAGGGATCGGGATAGGGATAGGGATCGGGATCGGGACCGTGACAGAGAAAGATACCGAGAAAGGGACAGGGATAGAGACAGAGACCGAGACAGGGATAGGGACAGAGATAGAGACAGGGATAGGGAGAGGGATAGGGATAGGGACAGAGACAGGGACAGAGACCGAGACAGGGATAGGGACAGGGATAGGGAGAGGGGCAGGGAGCGAGAGTGGGATAGGGACAAGGGGAGGGATGGCGACAAGGGGAAGGAGAAGGGGAAGGGCGAGGAGGGTGGCGCTGGGGGTGGAGGAGCAGGCACGGACAGGGAGAGGGAGCTGGAGATGATCCGAGAGCAGGTGAATTTTTTATGCGCCTCTTATTTGTGAGGACTCTGGTTTTGAGGCGTCTCAAAAACAGCTGGGGCTAGAGGAGGAACAGGCACGGACAGGGAGAGGGAGCTGGAGATGATTCGAGAGCAGGTGGGTTGCTTTTTTTGTATATAATTTGATAGTTATTTAATGTTGCCTTTCTTGTTTTTGCTTCACAGACAAGCTGCTCCACTTCCAGTTCCGCTTGTCGCCCCCACCCTTGACCCATCTGTGTCGTTTCTTTTCTCCCTTGCAGTTCCTCTCAAGTCTTGGCCCCTGCTTCCCCTCCGCCCTCCCTGTCAGCATCTCTGTCAGCGCTTGCTTCATACCAACGCATCCCTCCTGCCCCAAACTTTCCATCCTTTTCCTCTCCCGCCCATACCCCCTTCTTCCCCCTTTTTCCCTCTTTCCCCTCCCCTTTTCCCCCTTTTCCCCCTTTTTCCCCCTTCCTCCACCCTTTTCCCGCCCTTCTCTCCCCTTTCCCCTTTGCCTTCCTCCATTCCCTCCTGCCGCCGCCACGGGCAGTACCTGGGGCTGCGCAAGCCCAAGAAGCGAGTGATCAAGCCGAGAGAACACTAGGGAAAACTGTCTTGACCCTTCCCCCCTCCCCCCTCCCTTCCCATCCTCCACCCTCCCCCCAACCACCCCACCGCCACGGGCAGTACCTGGGGCTGCGCAAGCCCAAGAAGCGAGTGATCAAGCCGAGTGAGAAGTTCCGATTCTCCTTCGACTGGGAGAACACCGAGGACACCTCACGCGACCTCAACCCCCTGTGAGTGATTTTCTGAGGTTTCTCGAAAATAGGAGTGAAAAGATCCCGATCCTTTTTGACTGGGAGAATTCTGAGGACACGTCACGCGACCTCAACCCGCTGTGAGTCTGCTCCGCATAGTAAAAGCATCTGAGCTGAGCTCACCCACACTGTGGGTATCAACTGGTTATGTACTATGGGATTAAGGTTATTGGATCCGCCATTGCATCTTGTGTTCATTTTAGCACCTTAATCCACCCCCTTGTTTCCATTATTCTCTTTGCTGGCTGGCTGCCCTCCAGCTACCAGAACCCAGAACCCAGAACCCAGAACCCAGAACCCAGAACCCAGAACCCAGAACCCTCACGAGGCGAGTTGCTGTTTGGACGAGTTTCAAGATGTTGTCTCTGTCTGCTCATCGCTCGCCCCATCATCTTATTGTGCTTCCTCCATCATCTCTCAACCTTTGCTGCCCTCCAGCTACCAGAACCCTCACGAGGCGCTCATGCTGTTTGGACGAGGCTCCAGACATCTCAAGTGTTATCTCTGTCTGCCAATCATTTTCACTAGCCAAATCATGTTATCACCCCATCTTCTCAACCTGTGCCCCCCCCCCCAGCTACCAGAACCCTCATGAGGCGCAGCTGCTGTTTGGACGAGGCTTCAGGGCCGGTGTGGACAGGAGGGAGCAGAAGAAGGTGAGGCGGAGGAGTGAGAGAAAGGGTGGGGAGGGAAGGGGGCATGCGGGTAGGAGGAGAAAGTGGGTGGCGTTGTTGGTGGGTTGGGATGGGATGTGAAGGGGCGAGGAAAGAGAGGTTGGAGAGAAAATGTAGATGCGGGGTTGGTGCTCTCTTTTCGGGGGGTGGGGGGGGGGGGGGGGGGGGGGGGTAGAGGCATCAGTGGGCTGTTTTTGAGAATTCTAAAAAATAACCCACACACAACATCGTGGGCTGTGTTCGCCAATGTTGATCCCCGTGTGTGATAAGTCGATTTTTTAATCGACTCAAATCTCGTCAATGTTGATCCCCGTCCATTTCATGGCGTTGCCTTATCTTGCTACAGAAAGATTGATTGTTCATTGGTGCTTGCTTCATTGTTTCGCTCCTCATTGTGCCCTGTGTTGCTGTGCTGTGCGGTATGGTCTATATTGGCATGGCATGGCATAATGTGGCATGGTGTGGTGGCATGGCATGGCATGGGATGGCATGACATAGGATGGGATGGCATGGCATGGCATAATGTGGCATGGTGTGGTGGCATGGCATGGCATGGGATGGCATGACATAGGATGGGATGGCATGGCATGGGATGGCATGGCATGGGATGGGATGGGATGGGATGACATGGCATGGCATTGGATGGCATGACATGCCATGGCATGGTATGGTATGGTATGGTGTTGCATGATCAAATGCCATCCGTCGCATTCTGCCGGTTCATGCTGCCTGCCTGTTGAATCTATCCTGGCCTTGACTCGAATCAGCTTGCAGCGAAGAATGAAGCAGACATGCGGGCAGCTATTCGGGTAAGAGCGTGCATTCTCTGCAGCTTTATTGGAGTTGTGGCTGTTGATAACTCTGCAAGGCGGTCCTTGCTGCGTCTCCTTGTCTGCCCCTTCCCTTCCCATTGTGATTTTTGAGTCGACTCAAAAGTCGAGTCGACTCAAAAGTCACCTCTTTATTGGAGTTGTTGCTGTTGATAATTTTGCGTTCCTTGCTGCGTCTCCTTGTCTGCCCCTTCCCTTCCCGTTGTGATTTTTGAGTCGACTCAAAAGTCACCTCTTTATTGGAGTTGTAGCTGTTGATAACTCTGCGTTCCGTTCTGCGTCTCCTTGTCTGCCCCTTCCCTTCCCGTTGTGATTTTTGAGTCGACTCAAAAGTCACCTTTTTATTGGAGTTGTAGATGTTGATAATTCTGCGTTCCGTTCTGCGTCTCCTTGTCTGCCCCTTCCCTTCCCGTTGTGATTTTTGAGTCGACTCAAAAGTCACCTCTTTATTGGAGTTGTAGCTGTTGATAATTCTGCGTTCCGTTCTGCGTCTCCTTGTCTGCCCCTTCCCTTCCCGTTGTGATTTTTGAGTCGACTCAAAAGTCACCTCTTTATTGGAGTTGTAGCTGTTGATAATTCTGCGTTCCATTCTGCGTCTCCTTGTCTGCCCCTTCCCTTCCCGTTGTGATTTTTGAGTCGACTCAAAAGTCACCTCTTTATTGGAGTTGTAGATGTTGATAATTCTGCGTTCCGTTCTGCGTCTCCTTGTCTGCCCCTTCCCTTCCCGTTGTGATTTTTGAGTCGACTCAAAAGTCACCTCTTTATTGGAGTTGTAGCTGTTGATAATTCTGCGTTCCGTTCTGCGTCTCCTTGTCTGCCCCTTCCCTTCCCGTTGTGATTTTTGAGTCGACTCAAAAGTCACCTCTTTATTGGAGTTGTAGCTGTTGATAATTCTGCGTTCCGTTCTGCGTCTCCTTGTCTGCCCCTTCCCTTCCCGTTGTGATTTTTGAGTCGACTGAAAAGTCACCTCTTTATTGGAGTTGTAGCTGTTGATAATTCTGCGTTCCGTTCTGCGTCTCCTTGTCTGCCCCTTCCCTTCCCGTTGTGATTTTTGAGGCGACTCAAAAGTCACCTCTTTATTGGAGTTGTAGCTGTTGATAATTCTGCGTTCCGTTCTGCGTCTCCTTGTCTGCCCCTTCCCTTCCCGTTGTGATTTTTGAGTCGACTCAAAAGTCACCTCTTTATTGGAGTTGTAGCTGTTGATAATTCTGCGTTCCGTTCTGCGTCTCCTTGTCTGCCCCTTCCCTTCCCGTTGTGATTTTTGAGGCGACTCAAAAGTCACCTCTTTATTGGAGTTGTAGCTGTTGATAATTCTGCGTTCCGTTCTGCGTCTCCTTGTCTGCCCCTTCCCTTCCCGTTGTGATTTTTGAGTCGACTCAAAAGTCACCTCTTTATTGGAGTTGTAGCTGTTGATAATTCTGCGTTCCGTTCTGCGTCTCCTTGTCTGCCCCTTCCCTTCCCGTTGTGATTTTTGAGTCGACTCAAAAGTCACCTCTTTATTGGAGTTGTAGCTGTTGATAATTCTGCGTTCCATTCTGCGTCTCCTTGTCTGCCCCTTCCCTTCCCGTTGTGATTTTTGAGTCGACTCAAAAGTCACCTCTTTATTGGAGTTGTAGCTGTTGATAATTCTGCGTTCCGTTCTGCGTCTCCTTGTCTGCCCCTTCCCTTCCCGTTGTGATTTTTGAGTCGACTCAAAAGTCACCTCTTTATTGGAGTTGTAGCTGTTGATAATTCTGCGTTCCGTTCTGCGTCTCCTTGTCTGCCCCTTCCCTTCCCGTTGTGATTTTTGAGTCGACTCAAAAGTCACCTCTTTATTGGAGTTGTAGATGTTGATAATTCTGCGTTCCGTTCTGCGTCTCCTTGTCTGCCCCTTCCCTTCCCGTTGTGATTTTTGAGTCGACTCAAAAGTCACCTCTTTATTGGAGTTGTAGCTGTTGATAATTCTGCGTTCCGTTCTGCGTCTCCTTGTCTGCCCCTTCCCTTCCCGTTGTGATTTTTGAGTCGACTCAAAAGTCACCTCTTTATTGGAGTTGTAGCTGTTGATAATTCTGCGTTCCGTTCTGCGTCTCCTTGTCTGCCCCTTCCCTTCCCGTTGTGATTTTTGAGTCGACTGAAAAGTCACCTCTTTATTGGAGTTGTAGCTGTTGATAATTCTGCGTTCCGTTCTGCGTCTCCTTGTCTGCCCCTTCCCTTCCCGTTGTGATTTTTGAGGCGACTCAAAAGTCACCTCTTTATTGGAGTTGTAGCTGTTGATAATTCTGCGTTCCGTTCTGCGTCTCCTTGTCTGCCCCTTCCCTTCCCGTTGTGATTTTTGAGTCGACTCAAAAGTCACCTCTTTATTGGAGTTGTAGCTGTTGATAATTCTGCGTTCCGTTCTGCGTCTCCTTGTCTGCCCCTTCCCTTCCCGTTGTGATTTTTGAGGCGACTCAAAAGTCACCTCTTTATTGGAGTTGTAGCTGTTGATAATTCTGCGTTCCGTTCTGCGTCTCCTTGTCTGCCCCTTCCCTTCCCGTTGTGATTTTTGAGTCGACTCAAAAGTCACCTCTTTATTGGAGTTGTAGCTGTTGATAATTCTGCGTTCCGTTCTGCGTCTCCTTGTCTGCCCCTTCCCTTCCCGTTGTGATTTTTGAGTCGACTCAAAAGTCACCTCTTTATTGGAGTTGTAGCTGTTGATAATTCTGCGTTCCATTCTGCGTCTCCTTGTCTGCCCCTTCCCTTCCCGTTGTGATTTTTGAGTCGACTCAAAAGTCACCTCTTTATTGGAGTTGTAGCTGTTGATAATTCTGCGTTCCGTTCTGCGTCTCCTTGTCTGCCCCTTCCCTTCCCGTTGTGATTTTTGAGTCGACTCAAAAGTCACCTCTTTATTGGAGTTGTAGCTGTTGATAATTCTGCGTTCCGTTCTGCGTCTCCTTGTCTGCCCCTTCCCTTCCCGTTGTGATTTTTGAGTCGACTCAAAAGTCACCTCTTTATTGGAGTTGTAGATGTTGATAATTCTGCGTTCCGTTCTGCGTCTCCTTGTCTGCCCCTTCCCTTCCCGTTGTGATTTTTGAGTCGACTCAAAAGTCACCTCTTTATTGGAGTTGTAGCTGTTGATAATTCTGCGTTCCGTTCTGCGTCTCCTTGTCTGCCCCTTCCCTTCCCGTTGTGATTTTTGAGTCGACTCAAAAGTCACCTCTTTATTGGAGTTGTAGCTGTTGATAATTCTGCGTTCCGTTCTGCGTCTCCTTGTCTGCCCCTTCCCTTCCCGTTGTGATTTTTGAGTCGACTGAAAAGTCACCTCTTTATTGGAGTTGTAGCTGTTGATAATTCTGCGTTCCGTTCTGCGTCTCCTTGTCTGCCCCTTCCCTTCCCGTTGTGATTTTTGAGGCGACTCAAAAGTCACCTCTTTATTGGAGTTGTAGCTGTTGATAATTCTGCGTTCCGTTCTGCGTCTCCTTGTCTGCCCCTTCCCTTCCCGTTGTGATTTTTGAGTCGACTCAAAAGTCACCTCTTTATTGGAGTTGTAGCTGTTGATAATTCTGCGTTCCGTTCTGCGTCTCCTTGTCTGCCCCTTCCCTTCCCGTTGTGATTTTTGAGGCGACTCAAAAGTCACCTCTTTATTGGAGTTGTAGCTGTTGATAATTCTGCGTTCCGTTCTGCGTCTCCTTGTCTGCCCCTTCCCTTCCCGTTGTGATTTTTGAGTCGACTCAAAAGTCACCTCTTTATTGGAGTTGTAGCTGTTGATAATTCTGCGTTCCGTTCTGCGTCTCCTTGTCTGCCCCTTCCCTTCCCGTTGTGATTTTTGAGTCGACTCAAAAGTCACCTCTTTATTGGAGTTGTAGCTGTTGATAATTCTGCGTTCCGTTCTGCGTCTCCTTGTCTGCCCCTTCCCTTCCCGTTGTGATTTTTGAGGCGACTCAAAAGTCACCTCTTTATTGGAGTTGTAGCTGTTGATAATTCTGCGTTCCGTTCTGCGTCTCCTTGTCTGCCCCTTCCCTTCCCGTTGTGATTTTTGAGTCGACTCAAAAGTCACCTTTTTATTGGAGTTGTAGATGTTGATAATTCTGCGTTCCGTTCTGCGTCTCCTTGTCTGCCCCTTCCCTTCCCGTTGTGATTTTTGAGTCGACTCAAAAGTCACCTCTTTATTGGAGTTGTAGCTGTTGATAATTCTGCGTTCCATTCTGCGTCTCCTTGTCTGCCCCTTCCCTTCCCGTTGTGATTTTTGAGTCGACTCAAAAGTCACCTCTTTATTGGAGTTGTAGCTGTTGATAATTCTGCGTTCCATTCTGCGTCTCCTTGTCTGCCCCTTCCCTTCCCGTTGTGATTTTTGAGTCGACTCAAAAGTCACCTCTTTATTGGAGTTGTAGCTGTTGATAATTCTGCGTTCCGTTCTGCGTCTCCTTGTCTGCCCCTTCCCTTCCCGTTGTGATTTTTGAGTCGACTCAAAAGTCACCTCTTTATTGGAGTTGTAGCTGTTGATAATTCTGCGTTCCGTTCTGCGTCTCCTTGTCTGCCCCTTCCCTTCCCGTTGTGATTTTTGAGTCGACTCAAAAGTCACCTCTTTATTGGAGTTGTAGATGTTGATAATTCTGCGTTCCGTTCTGCGTCTCCTTGTCTGCCCCTTCCCTTCCCGTTGTGATTTTTGAGTCGACTCAAAAGTCACCTCTTTATTGGAGTTGTAGCTGTTGATAATTCTGCGTTCCGTTCTGCGTCTCCTTGTCTGCCCCTTCCCTTCCCGTTGTGATTTTTGAGTCGACTCAAAAGTCACCTCTTTATTGGAGTTGTAGCTGTTGATAATTCTGCGTTCCGTTCTGCGTCTCCTTGTCTGCCCCTTCCCTTCCCGTTGTGATTTTTGAGTCGACTGAAAAGTCACCTCTTTATTGGAGTTGTAGCTGTTGATAATTCTGCGTTCCGTTCTGCGTCTCCTTGTCTGCCCCTTCCCTTCCCGTTGTGATTTTTGAGGCGACTCAAAAGTCACCTCTTTATTGGAGTTGTAGCTGTTGATAATTCTGCGTTCCGTTCTGCGTCTCCTTGTCTGCCCCTTCCCTTCCCGTTGTGATTTTTGAGTCGACTCAAAAGTCACCTCTTTATTGGAGTTGTAGCTGTTGATAATTCTGCGTTCCGTTCTGCGTCTCCTTGTCTGCCCCTTCCCTTCCCGTTGTGATTTTTGAGGCGACTCAAAAGTCACCTCTTTATTGGAGTTGTAGCTGTTGATAATTCTGCGTTCCGTTCTGCGTCTCCTTGTCTGCCCCTTCCCTTCCCGTTGTGATTTTTGAGTCGACTCAAAAGTCACCTCTTTATTGGAGTTGTAGCTGTTGATAATTCTGCGTTCCG